AATTTAAAGAATACTTTTGTTAAAAAAATTTAAATAATGAAATTATTTAAACCAAAACAAATTGTAGTTCTATTTGCAGGTTGAGAGTAAGTGGTTTATCGAGTAAAGGTACAAATAAAGATTTTACCTTTACATTTTTTTTTATTTATGGATGTTAATTTTGTTATTTTTTAAATAAAAATGTCAATTTTTATTTTTTTTATTTAAAGATATCAACTTTCAACTTTTTTATAGAAGAATTAATTAACTTTTATTTAATTTTATTAAATGGTAGGTGGGACTAATTAAATGGGAAAATATATTAATTGTTTTAATTTTTAAATATAAATAAAGTAAAATTAAGAATTAAAGTGGTTTTTAAATTATTTAGAATTAAAAAATCCACATAATTATTTTTTACATGATGGATTTTCCACTTAATATTGAAAATGTAAAATAGTCAATCACTTAGCAAAAAAATTAGCTATATTAACATTTAACTGATGGAAAGGCGAAATTGAAAATTGAAGTTGAAGGACGTTTTTGGTACTTTTTGAAGTTTAAGGATGAATTGGTTCAAAAATAAAAATTGAGAGATCAATTCAAATATTTAACATAAAAAAATATATTAGTTGACATCAGCATCACAACCAATTAATCCTTAAATAGAAAAAGTTGAAAGTTGACATCCTTAAATAAAAAAAACTGAAAGTTAATATTCTTATTTAAAAAATAACAAAATTAATATTTTTAAATAAAAAAATGTAAAATTAAAATCTTTATTTACACTTTTACCTATGATTTACCACTTACCTTGTAAGAGTGGACACCTCATATTTGAGATTCAAAAATTTTGAGATGATTTTCTCTCCTTCTTCATGAAATGTTAAAATTATTTGTAAATTTATTTAAAAAGTATAAAATATAATTCACATTAAAAACATATATATATTTTAAATAGATTAAAATTATTTATATATTAACTGAGAAAAAAAAATTCTGCTAACTCGAATATATATAACTCACAGAAAATAAATGATTCTATCTTAGATTTTTATCACTGGATCAAAATGATCAGTTCAAAACACATGTATTTAGAAACCATAAAATGGAGACCATCTTTTATATTTAATAATTAAATATAATTCAAACTATACTTTATTTTTTTAATGTATTTACATAAATCTTCGGTCATCAAAAGTTCTCATTGTTGATTGTCCTCATTATTTATATGGTGCAGTAATTCTCGATCTCAATAATTTTTCTTTTAGTAGGACTTTTTATGTAAATTTTGTGTTCTTATCTAATTTTTTCTTAACTATTCTATTCATTTAATTTTAGTATGTTTAATGTTTTATTTAATAAAATAGAAATATAATAATTAAATTATAAAATTTTATATTTATTCATAATTAACATTATTTAAGTAAATTTTTTATTTAATATATATTATAATTATTT